TCATATATAAGAGGAGAATATTTCCTTCTCCTTCCCTCTCCCCACCCTGTCCACAAAGCTCCTCATAGCCGGGACAGTTTTTAAATTGAGAGTATGAGCTCCAAACATAGAGTCAAAACTCCAGGTGGGGCAGGCACAGTCTTTGATATGACTTAGTCATCTCCAGCTCTTCAAATTCATTCTATTTGGGGAAACTTAGCTGGGTCAAAACCAGCCTCTCTCCTGCTGGCTTCTGGATAAATGCCTCAGACACAGGAAAGAAAAAGAAATCCAGACAGCTCTCCTGATATGCCATACACCAGCATCAGTGCCAAAGGAAGGAGCAGGGCACAGGAAGGTTTGACAAGATGCAGTCACCCACCCACAACAGGACTACCAAAATGAGAAAAAATACCAGTTACGAAAAGGTTTAACAAAATAGAATAAGAATGCGTTCCTGTGAGCAGCTCATCAATTCAGCTGTACTAAATTATGATCAACAGAGATCCCATAAATTAAATAAACAGTAAGCCATCAATTCCTTCTGATACAGAACAAGCACTGCTGCCTGGGTGCCTCTCCCTTCCCCAAGCATATAATCTCCACATAGACAGCCCACCTAAGGCAGAAAATGTTCAAAGTTTTTATATTTGCAGATGTGTAAGAGCAAACTGCCAGACAGAAATCCAAACCACCCACAGTGACAAGGTCTTTTCATTAGGTTTGTCTGCGATTTTGCCTTGTTTTCTAAAGCTTTTGTACCTCCTGTTACTTTATCTTCACAATAACTCAAACTACCAGGCAATCAATATTGCAAGGTTAAAGCACCATCCAAGTTTGGCATTGGACAGCTCAATCCAACTCCTCCTTCCTGCTGTCTCTGTGCTGGAAGGCAAACAGAAGAGGACAGGAAAAAATACTTATCTGCTGTTAGGATTAGCTGGAGCAACACAGTGCTAGCTCTAGCAAGCTGCCACTGTTATCTGGATATGGCCAAGTGACAGTCCCCAAACCAAGCAGGTACAGCCAGAGGACTTAGCCTTGCTGAAGGAGGATGGCTTCATTACATCATGGTGCCAGAGAAGCCAAAACACACTGCCCTGTTAGACCTCAGACACCCCTCTGGCAGAGAACAGGCACTTGCAGACACATTCCTGTGGTCTCACTGTAGACAGACAAGACAACTGTCTCCAGCAAGGCTGGAGTTCGTGCAGCCATTTATGAGGAATGCACCGTTGAACACAGGCATGGTGTTCAACATGTTCAAGAGCAACAAATAAAAATGCACTGCCTAAAACAGGCAGCATTTCTAGCTCATTTCCCATGATAAGTAATTGACAATTCCGTATCTCCCAGCCTGTAGTGCTGTAGATGTTTGGTCATTTCTAAGAGAGCCTGAATATACAAACACAAGCATTAAAGCAGGCTTTTGCATTTCCTGAAAACACAGTTAAGGATTTAGGAGAATGCATTGTGGATGTAAAAGGCATAATTACCAGTCCTTATGTACCTGCAGTAGCAGAGGGCAGAAGGCAGAATACTATGAACAGGCAGATTCTTTCCCATCCTGCACCGTTGCTGTAGAAGGGGCAATACAGACATTTTTCCTACAGAGCATTGCAGACTTTAGCAGGAGAGCAGAGGCAGCTGGGAGAAAGACAGGTCCAACTGCAAGCCTAACAGGACATTAACAAACTTGTAAGTGACAGGCTAAACAGGCTGTGGGACCAAGACTCTTCCTATTGCTCGAGGGCTCCCAAATGATGCTCAAGCTCAGCTGGTGCAAACTAAATTTGCTCTACTGTCTGCCAGAGCTGTATCAACTTACTCCAGTAAAAGGTGAAGGTGCTCAGCTCTGGGACACCACTGGCAGGCCACTGGGATGCCACTGACGGGCCATCAGCTGTGTAGAAATTTCATTCTAGGGAAAAACAAAGAAACAAAGCAAAAAAACCAAAACAAACTAAACCAAAAAAACCCACAAAAAAATTAAAAACCCAAACCAACAAAAACAAAAAAATAAACTAACAACAAAACAACAGGGAAAAAAGGCACTGTGCAAAAGGAAGACCAGGAAGAAATCAGGCTTGTAAGAAATACGCCTCTGTTCTGAAACAGTCTAGAAAACAGGAAACTGTAGAAACTCCCTTCACAGTGCATTAGCATCCTATGATAACACACATGAACTGCAGCACTCAGGATCATTTATCCCAACCATTCCAAACCTGGTTTGGTTACACATCATCTCCACAGCCCAGGCTCTCCTAACAACAGAACAAAAATATTTTGCGTTTTTCCAACCCTTTTCCTTTCCCCTTGGGGCCTAGTTCAAAAATCTTTTATGTCATTCTGACAGCACAATATGATTTTAGGCCGATAAACCCAGCTCATTAAGAGATACACTCTGTGCAAGACATCTTGCTGGCACTGGAAAGTTGGCAGTGCAAAAGATTTGCAGTTCCCTGCCTGCAAGTGAGACCAGAGATCAAGTGACAAAAGCAAGCACGTTGTGGAACAAGGCAGACCTGCTGCTAGTCAGCACCAGGGGACATGAGTCCCTGTGCAGTTATGGTCAATGATGCTACACTTTTCTTCCCACCACACAAGCCTTTCATCCCTCAGATTTCACAAGGACATCCCACCTTCTAGTAGCTACTGTGAATCTGGCAATTTCCCTCCAGGAGCATTTTATTTCCACAGTGGGGAGGGAGTCCAGAGGCTTGCCAGCATCTGTAAAACAAGTAACTGCCAGCCCAGCAGCAAACACAAGGCCTGACCCTTTGGAGGACCAGAGATGGAGACCATGCATCCTTACTCCACACCCAGGTACTCCTTGCTGAGAAAGAAGGAACAACTCATCTGTCACCCATCTTACAGCCTCCTGGCTGCAGATTATTCAGACATAACCCACAATGTGCTAAAGAAACTCTCCTATCTAACCACCCAGGTGCCACTCTGTCAGTCACACTCCCTCTATTCCAAGACTTTCACTGCTGGGACCAAAGTCCCTTCACAGCAGATGACTCCAGTGACCCCTTGGGTGGCCCTTCTGGCTTCCTGCACACCCCACACTCACAGAGATAAGACAGGGTTTCCTTACTGGCTCAGCCCTGGGTTTCCCACAGCAGTCTCAGATGTCTGGATCCTCTAAGTAATTTAATCATGGTGCAGTGACACAAAACCTGCTTGACCTGGTGCCTCTGGGGAGGCAAAAGCATTCCTGGGTTTTTATACTCTTACAGTCTGTTGCACCCAGACAGTCTGGGGTCTTCTTGCTGAGTCATCAGCTCCTGCTCTATCCCTGTGCCCTTTGCTATCCAAAGGGTCAGCACCAGGTCACAGCCCCTTTCCTGGCGCTCCTGACATTTCCCCCATCCAGGGCACAAACTGTAGTTCACACCCAGCTGTCAACACTGGGTGTATTCCTCAAGAAGTGCCAAAGATATTTAACTATTTTCACAGCATTGCATGATCATCACACACCCTGCAACAACAATGTTCCCTAGATTGGGCTTTAACCTTCAAGCAAAAGCTGTTCTCCGGGAATCTGCAGAATTGGGCCCCTGGTCAGGGATGCTCGCTCTACACAGAGATTTTATTCTAGCTAAACACGTCACAACATTTACTCACCTGGAAACACAGCTGCCCTACTCTGGGAAATCTCTCCTCCTACTATTTCACAATTCTCAGGATGACAACAGTTACGCAAGAACAGCTGCACAGGAACATGAAATGCTTACAGCTTCTAAGCAAGACTTTCCCCAAACTTCCCTTATCCCAGCTCCAAATCCTATGGCTCCCAGGTTTCAAGGCACACCAACCACCAGTCACCATGCCTCCATCACACCTTTGGCCTGGCAGAGACCTACAAGAAAAAACATGACACACAAGCGAGTAGGGAGCTGCTTCCACATGAACGTGCTGCTGTCACCTTGGCCAGCCAGGTAGGTATTTCCCCCACTAATTTAAATCTTGGCAGGAAAAGGGGAGCAAATGGCCTTGACAGGCTGTCAGTGATTTCTGCCTTTTAGTAACTTAATACAGCACATTACCCCTTCCTAAAATGGCAGCAGGAAGATGCTCAATGGCTCTGGCATCCTAGTAAGACATTAACAAGATTGCTGGGCACCAAATAGGACTGCAGACTTTCCTTCAGAGCAGAGCAGGGCTTCAGTTTTCAACATAGATTTGATCCCTTTTCCATCTCAGCCATCTATCTGTGCCACAGATGGCCACCACCCCCAAAACATAATGCTTCTTACCACGACAGGCACCCGGTGAACACATGAGCCCAAGGGCACAGCACCAGTAGAAAAACTGCACCTGTATGAACAACTACAAGTAGTAGCACGCAGTTAAAAATCCTACAGGCAAGACATTCAAAGGAGTAAACCCTCATTAAATCCCAGTGTTTATTTTCCGAGGAAGAGGTTAGAGGAACTCCTCCCATTAAACCTTGCCTACTCCTTTGTTTATAACAGTCTGCAAAGCAAAACAGAAGTAGAGGACAAGAAGACAACCACCACCCGAGTCCCACAGGATACATCCTTATCAGTACCACTCTAGTTCAGCTGCCTTTTGCTTGGCACTGCCAAGAAGCGAGTTCTTGAGAAGCAAAGCATTTGCAGTAATCGAAATCACTGCAGATATCATCCCAACAGCAGCAGCACCACAAAGTCAGACCCTAACAGCAGTGAGACTCTCAGAGATTAACATACTATGGTAAAAATACCCACTATTTAACTGTAAACATCTAATACCTAAAAGACATCGGGCCACATAAATATATCTGGGATCCTGCCCTAACACCTGGCAAGGCATATAAACTAAAAGCTGAGAAGCCTTGCAGGAAAGAGGCGGGGGTACTGGAAAATCCGATTTCCACAACCTCACCCTCACCTAGCAGCTGCAGAGGGTGCAGCAAGAGATAGGATGCTTGGGGTCCAATTCCCAGGGTGACCTTGAGGAAATCCCACAGTCTTTCCACATTTCCACTTTCCCCATCCAGTGCGTGAAGAGCACAATAACCTTGACCTACCTCAAAGAGGCAGGGATCTGGCTTAGGAGAGTCTGGAAGGAGCTCAGAGGGGCTTAAACGCAGGACCTGCGCTGCCACCGGGGCGGCCAGGGAATCCTACGAATCGCCCCAGAATCAGAAGCCCGGAGAAGCTGGGAAATCGCTTTCACTATAAAAAGCTGCAGCTCCGGGGCACTAAGGGCTCGGCGGAGCCGCACACGTGTCAGCCGCGATTTCCCTGGCGCGGCAGGGCAGAGGAAGGCGCACCGCGGCTGCAGCCCCGCGCCCGGCAAGGGCAAGCCCCGCACCACGGCCAGCGGGGCGACCAGCCCCGGGCCCCCCGCGCAGGCACGGGAGCCAGCCCGGGAAGGAGGGGAAGGGCTGGGAAGATCTAAAACCCCCATGGTGAGGAGGGGAAGTGGCGGCGGGCAAGGGGAGCCGCAGCTCCGGGGAGGGGGTGGATGCATGGGGAGCCCGCAGCCGCCGGGGCGGGCAGACGGCGCTCCAGGGCCCGGGGGCGCAGCAAGGGCGGCCGGCACAGCCCTGAGATGAGGGGCCGGGGTGAGCGCGGCGGGGCCGGTGCAGCAGGAGCCAGGCCGGGGTGCACGGCCGAGCTGCATCCCGGCGGCAGGAGGGGCGTCGGGACCCCCGGCGGCGCCTCCGGAGGGCTTGGGAAGGGCCGTGCCCACACTTACCGGGCGGCGGCGGCGGCTCCCGCCGGGGCCGGGGACGGTGCGGCGCGGGGTGCGGAGCTCCTGCACGGCGCGGCCCGGCCCGACTCAGCTCTGCCCCCGCCGGCCGCGTTCGGCGCAGGAACCGCCGCCCGTCCCTCCCTCCCCGCCGGGGCGGCCGCCGCGTCCCCATGGCAACGCGGCCGGGGCCCGGGGATCGCCGCCGCCTCCCCCGGCCCGCCGTGCCGGGACCGCCCCGCCGTGCCCCGAGCGGCCCCGGGCCGCGCACACAGCCGCCTTGCGAGGCGGCGCACGGCGGGACACGGGGCAGAAATAATTAGTCTGTCCTCTGGACCCGACGGGACGGCTTGAGTTGTGTCAGGGCAGGTTTCGGTTGGGCATTAGAAAAAGGTTCTTCGCCCGGTGGGTGTTTGGGCACTGGAACAGGATCCCCAGGGAAGCAGTTACAGCACCAAGCCTGACGGAGCGCAGGAAGCGCTTGGACAATGCTCTCGGGCACATGGTGTGACTCCTGGGGATGGTGCTGTGCAGGGACGGGAGTTGGATTCGATGATCTTTATGCACCCTTTCCAACTCAGCATAGTCTGTCATTCTGTTATTCTCTTCAGCATACCAGCCAGACCCATTGTGCCCATTGGATCATCATGCTGTGCTGCCTGCTGCCCCTCAGGAAAACCACTATACCACTGGCAGGCATTGATTTTTGGGGTTGGCAGGCTCCACTGTGGACCTGGAGTTCTCAGGAGCATTATGGGATCTAAATGCTTGCTGGAACAAAACATCCACAGAGGTTCTTTCATTAGGCCTTGGAAATTAAGCATGAAGGCAAGGAGGACATCAACAGCCAAACAGTTCTCCGTGCCTATTGGGATGACCAAGTTCTTTGTGGTGAGGGTGGTGAGGCACTGGAACAGGTTGCCCAGAGAAGCTGTGGATGCCCCATCCCCAGCAGTATTCAAGGCCAGGCTGGATGGGACTCTTGACTATCCTGGTCTAGTGGAAGATGTCCACTAGAGGAGCATAGAGTGAGATGATCTTTAAGGTGTCTTCCAGCCCAGACCATTCTGTGATTCTGTAACATCCAGAGGTGTGATACCACCAGGAAAGAGGTGACGATCTCCAGGGGAATACATCTCTAAGAGCCTCCCTGACTGCTCACATACACCACGCCCTGTGAGTGTGGATTTCCAGCTCTGTACCAAGGGCCCATGGAAACTGGCAGAGCACCAGTGCACAGTTGGGGTGACTAGAAAAGAGTGCCTACAAGGATGCTCCCAGGAGCATGTAGGGCTAATGAGGACATTCTGTACACAGGAAAAGTGACAATTATATTGAGTCACGATGAACAGCCCAGAAACCTCTTCACACACATGAAAACAAGAGAAGCTTGTTATCACAGTCAGGGTGAACCCAAGGTGAGAAGAAGATGTAAACCAGAGGCCAGTGAAGCATCAGAAGTCAATGGTAGTGAGTTGGATATAGGTAAAAAGGGGATAAACTTTTCTCATGTGCTGTTCAACCTGGGCTGAGCAAAGCATGAGAAGATACAGCACTGGAGGTGGAAAGCTCCCTCCAGAAGGGTGGTGCCTGACCAAGGAAGGAGACCTGTGTGCTGTGGCCATTTTATTGGCATATATTGGATGAGCATCCAGCACAAGAGAAAAATGCAAGTGCAGTGGGCAGGGAGATGCCAGAGTAGTCTATCCAACCCCACAGTCTTATCTCCACCATGTCCTTGGAAAAACAGGCAGCAAGGCCTGGGTTGCAGGCAGGCTGCTGTGGTGGGCACTGCTGCAGGGATTCCCAGTTTGGGGAACAGTGTGGGGGAGCTGAGGTCTTCTCACTCCCCAGCTGCAAAACTGCTTCCCACCCCTTTCCTTGGTGGTGTCATATCCCCCCTCTGCCCTGTTTTGTAAAGGCATCAGTGGGTTTCACTGTGCTGTATCCTCTCAGTCAAAAGCTGAACTGAACTCAGTGTGGCTTGAGGTATAGATGTTACTATTTCTCACAGTGTAGATGTGCTGGCAGGACATTACCGTCCCCTGGCAAAGAAGAGGTTAACACTGTCCATCTTTGTGCTGCATCTCAGGAGGACTGCAATCACACATTTTTATTTTTGGTTCTGCTGCATAAGAACAACTGCTCTTTGTAACCTGCATGGCACAAAGGACCCATTTCTTCCGGCAGCATTTAAGAGAGGGCATAAAAAAAGGAAGCAGAGGAAGAAAGTTCGTATTCAGCGGGTGCCAGGTTGTCAAGGTTTCCTCTGCTTTCAGACATAATTTTTTTCTCCTGACAGACACAAAAGGGATTTAAAACTGTTCGGTGCAAAACAGAGCTTCAAAAGCAGCACTGTCTGTGTCTGACAGAAGGTGAAAAGCACAGCTCAGGACCTCCAGTACAAGGCAACGTTATTGTCATCGTGGTGCACACAGGAGCATTAGACCAGGTCTGTGCTCGGCTTGTCACAAAGCTTGTCCTGTGTGTCTCCAAATCCTGCACTGCTTTCAGCCCACCTCCCAGAGGGGCTGTGGGCTAGTTCAGCTCCACAAGGACATGGGTCAAGTTCAGTCTGCTGCAAAGAAAGAGGCTTTCATGAGGTCTTGCTTTTCAGTTTCCTTCCCCATTTGTATTGTCTTCTGCTTTAATAAATGGTGAACTGCCAGTAAAATCCCCAAGTGCCTGCTGAGTGCGGTTATTAAACCAATGCTTAAAAAAGTAAAACTGGGCAAGCTTGGTCACTGCTCCCTTGGCCTGCCATGATTCTCAGAGCACTGGTAGACAATTCAGCTGATAAATACTGAAGAGGCAGTAATATAATTAGCAACACTGTTTTCTGGAAAAATCAATCCCTACCAAGCCTGATCTTGTTGTCCATTGAGACCACAGGATGTGTTGTCAAAGGTAACAGCACAGAGGTGTTAGGGGAGGCATCGAGAGTATAGTCAAACAGAATAAGTAAAATGAACAGATTCACAGCTGGCCATCAGCTGGCATGGCAGGAAGCACCCAGAAAGCACTGGTCTGGTTTAATTTTCTGTGCAGGTACTTGACATTACAGAAGCAAGAGAGGATGTGGATGCATCTGGAGAGTGCAAGAAGGGGACAGCTTAATCCCAAACCTGGCTATGTTGTTCCCAAAAGCTCAAGCTGCAAGACCACACTGGTGAACCCAGTGTATGAGGTCTGTCTGTCCTTTCTGCCTGTTACTCCTTGAAAAGAGGCTGCAGACATCTTCTTAGTAGCTATTTGATTCAAATGCAGAACAATTACTGGGAATAAAGTCCCTGATGCTCAAAGCACACAAGTGCATGTAAAAAAAAAAGAGTAGAATTTTCTTCCTTTTTAAAGTGACTTTTAGAGCAACTGGGTTGACCCTGGCATTCTAATGAGTAACATATCATGGGCTGGCTTAAACAATAGCCCAGCTTGTGCAACACATCCTGCAGTGCTGGCAGCCTCCAGTAAGCACCAGCATCTCACAGTGCCCAGTAACCGTGAGGCTCCAGCCTTGGAGCTGCCTGACACCCAGCAGCCCCATTCCCTGCCTGTCCACAGCATGTGCCACAGCAGCAGTGCCTCAGCTCCTTTGGCAGTCAGCACAGGCTCCCACGCTCAGCACAGACAACACAAGGGAAAGCAATCTCATGCCCTCCATGCTTATCTCCTGGATAAAACAGTGAGGCACTTTTGTTTATTGAGTGCCGATGAATGGCGCTGTCTTGGCTGTGAGATTGGCCTCTAGATCCCACTCTGGGCACAGCTGCTGGCAGGGAGCCTGCAGCTGCAGCCACCTATTGCTCTGGGAGCCTTTCAGCAGGGCATTCCCCCTCAGCCCAGGGAGAAAACAACCAACAGCTTCCCCCCATATGCATCTGTCCCCATGCAGAGGTGGCGTCAGATTTACGGGACACTGATCACTCTTTTCCCCTGCAAGTATGGCCCAAGAGTGCACATGGATGCCAAAGAATACAGTTTGCTCCAGAATTTTTCAGTATTCCTCCCCTTTCAGCATCTGACAAACAGCTGTGAGAAATCTGCATTGGCAGTAACCTGCATGGCTGTTTCTTGGGGGGCAGAAAAGTGAGATGGCTTTATGCTGCCAGGATGAAGTGGATGCTGAGGTCACTGTCACCCTGCCATAGGTGAAATAGCTGGACCTCAGGGAGAGTCACAAATCATGGGCTTGCTGCCTCACCAAGAGCTGCAGCCAGGTCCTCCAGGGCCATGTTATTTTAGGACCCCAAAAAGCTGATGGATCCATTTGTGACTGCCTCTGCCTTCCAGCCATCATTCATGCACAGCCATTGTCACAAAATAGCCTGTTTAAGCAGCAGGATTTTCTTTACTCTGCCCAGACTGCAAAGAAATCATCTCTTGTAAGGGACTTTTGAGGGGGAGACACCATGTGTTCTTGCTCCTTTCAATGCATGAGGATGAGAGCCTCACCAAATCATCTGGTGTGGGGATTTTTGAGGGGGAGGCACAGTGTTTTATTGCTCTTTTCAATGCACCAGGATGAAAGCCTCACCAGGACTGTCACTCAGCCTGATGCTCCTGCAACACATGAAGGCTGTGCAGACACCAGGACACAGAAACTTGCAATGTTGAGAGGGAGCAGCTGCAATCAATATCAGAAGCCATGCTTGCTCTCAGCTCTGGCCTTAAGGAGATGCTAAGAATCACAGTGATTTCCATTCTTCTCCAACCTGGAGGGAAAAAACCCAAAGACATTTGTCCTGAACAATTGCTGCTTCCAGAGGAAGTAAAATCTTCTGAGGACATGGCTGAAGAAGCAGCAAGGTGAAGGTTCATACCTAAGCTCATGTCCCCCCCTGGCTATCCTGTTACTACCTCCCTCATCCAGCTTTCCTGTCCTACTTCTCACTGTAATCTAAAGCTTCTCTCCATCAGCCCAACAAAGCAGAATTAAAAGGCTAACCGGCTAGGCCCATCAGCCAAGTCTCTTCTTCACACAACAGGGAGAGATGAGTGATTCCAGAGGGGCTGCAGCCACCCTCTGCAAAAGTCCCACTCTCTGCTGGACATGCAGATTTGCTGTTTCTAAACCTTGTGATGCTAAACACCACCAGAAGACCAGGTCTGGCCTGTGGCAGAAATCTGGCAGAGACAGCGTGGCTGTGACACATCTGGGGTTACTCAGATCACTGTGTGATCCTGTTCACACCCAAAGCTTTAAGTTCTTGCTGCTGCCTTGGAACTGTCCCACACGCGAGCCTGCCATAGCCTGGTACCTGTTTTGATCAGGAAAAACGTTTCCTGCATTGGATGGAAAACTCAAATAATTTCTTAAGCTATTTGAGGGGTATTTTAGAAATTCCAAGGTTTACCCTTGCTGCTTCAAGTAGAGGGCTGGCAGGGTTGTAGAAGCACGGAAACTTAGGACAGCTTGGCAGCTAAGAGATGACAAATATTATCTTGCTGTTATCATCCCTTAAGCTCTCATGTCCTATTAGCTTAATCAAACCTGCCCAACTTCATGGAATCACACAATGGATAGGGTGATCACACAGTGGGTTGGAAGGGACTTTAAAGATCCATCTCATCTGTCATGGGCAGGAGCACCTTCCAGCTGACTGCTCTGGGTTGTCCTCAGTCTCTCTTCCCTGGACTCCTGCAACCCAGCAGCTGATGATCATGCAGGGCCTGCCCCAAGATGTGGCCCCACCAGGTGACCCAGTGTCGGAATCTATGGTATTTTAGATGATTCCGAGATTGTAGAAAGCCTCTGTCAGCCCCACTGCCAAAGAAGAAGTCGTAATTCATCTGGTGCTGGTTGTTTATTCTTGCTTATCTCTAACATGTTCTGCTGCCCTGCCGCAGGTCTGTCCTGCAGGGCAGCGTGTGGGGCTCTGCCCCTCAGTGGGATGTTACAAACATTATATACCAGAAACTATGTGTGCTATATTTACAATAATGTGCCAATATCTATCATCTACATGATCACACAGTGACACCAGTGTGCCCCCAGCCTAAACCAATAATAAAATGCCAACACTACAGTGAAACATGGAGGGCATGAAGAAGGAGAAAAAGGACAAGACACACCCAATTTCTTCCATCTTGTCCCCTTTGGACTCCTTATCTAGAATCCTAAAATTTTATTTTTGCATCCATGCCACACTTAATTATTACTTATATCAAACACTCAGAGCATGTAATTTATCCTGTAAAATTGAAAACTCTTTTCCATGAACAGAGATCAGAGATGGTGCCTCTCGGAGCTCTGTACAGGGGGGTTCCTGACCCCCTGCCAGGGTCCCAGAATTTCCAGAGCAGCCAGAGGGATGCCCTGGACTCCCACAACCCAGCACATGGGACTTTGTGCACTCAGCCTGAGACACAGTGAAAACAGGGCAGAGCAGATGTTTTCAAGCTTGACATGTCTAAAGTAGAAATCTTGTCTCCTGCTTTGAGCAGAGCTAACTGGTTTGCTTTGGGTCACCAGTGGAATTCTCAGTCCAGGAGTGAAGCTCAGCCACATGGCTTTTAGGAGAGGTTCAAGCAACAGCCGCCTCCTCTGACCCTTGCAACTGTGATCTCCTCTTATCCACAGGGCTTCAGCAGAAACAAAATTTGCAGCCATCCTGCTTTTCTAGAGAAAGCCAGTAGAGAAGTCTGATCGGCTTCCTCTGCCTGCTTTGTTTCTCCACATGCCCTGTTGCTGCTGTCTGATCCAACTCTTGCCTGAGAAAGGCAGCCCCAAACCTCTTGCTCCTTCCACACGGGAATGCATTCAGCTTTCTCTATTTGTTTGCTTTGTAGAGGATTTGTTTTCCCACCAATTTAATCAATCACTTTCTGAACACGACATTTATGTTTTAGCCTCAAACTTTCCACAGCAAGGAGTCAGCGCTGGAAGTATGCAGAGTGGGGAAAAAAAAAGTACCCGCTTTTGCTAATTTGCAGGTGATACTGGACTATTTCTTTTGGTGCCACCTAGTTGAGAAACAGTGGATGGCAACCATGTATTCACAGTGGATGGCAACCATGTATTCACAGTCTTCATCCTTTCCCAGGAGATGCAATACTTCGCCGTAAGAAAAGAGTTTAAAATGCTCTGTAGTACTAGTTCTGAGCATCCCTCCTGCTCCTTGCACATTTTCCTGTTCTACCATCTCCTGTCTGGAAAAGATAAGAACTGCACTAGTGCTCAATGGGCAAACCAAGCAGAAGGATCTTAGCTCCAGCCCCCCGAAAAAAACTTCTGGGTTGGTTCAATCCACAGACCTACTGTGCGACAAGAAGAATAAAGGCATGGTCATATTGCCTACCTGGTTTCTATATTTCCCAGTAACCAAATTCTTTCAAGGTACCTGGAAACTGGGACAAGGGTCAAACACTCCTCATGGATTTTTCAAGACCCAGATTTACAGAAAATGGGTGCTTTAAGAACACAGAGTTTATATCTGTGAAGTTCAGGAAATGAACACGCACTTAATTGCAGCAAATGCCGTTTTCTTCATTTTAACAGTACCAACTGCTAAGCATGGTGAGCTCACTTTGACACAGCCCTGGTGTTCTGATGCGCCAGTGACTGAATGCCAGCCCCACTCCCTTTCCCACTGAAAGCTAATCTTGCTTTAAAGACTGAAAACATGGGGTGATCCTCCCTTGGGAGGAAAATAGTGAATTTAAGGACCATCAGATTTCA